TTTTAAGTCCTCTTCACTTTCAGCAAGCAAGATTGTATCATCTGCATATTGCAGATTGTTAATGAGTCTCTCTCCAATCCTGATGCCATGTTTTTCTTCATAGAATCCAGTGTCTCGTATTGTTTGCTCAGCATACAGGTTGAATAAGTATGGTAAAAGAATACAACCTTGTCACACACCTTTCTTAATTTTAAACCATTCGGTGTTCCCATGTTCTGGTCAGACAACTGCCTCTTGGTCCAAGTACAGATTCCTCATGAGCACAATTAGGTGTTCTGGAATATTCATACTTTTCAATGTTGTCCATAGCTTGTCGTGATCCACACAATCGAAAACCTTTGCATAGTCAATAAAGCACAGGTAAACATCTTTCTGATAGTCTCTGCTTTCAGCCAAGATCCATCGGACATCAGCAATGATATCCGTCATTCCACCGCCTCTTCTGAATCTGGCTTGAACCTCTGAAGTTCCCTGTCAATGTATGATTGCAGCCCTTACATACAGCTCTGAAATTAACAAAATTGTTCAAAAAGAATGTGCATTGAAAATCAAACCGAGTGAATGCATTCATTTTTATAACCGATTTCATTCTTTTCTAGTCCTAGCTTTGAAGTGGCGTTTCTTGGAATTCTTGAGTGCCTTTGAGTAGGGTCTGTATAGGGCTTCCGAGTCTTTTAAACGTTTGTAGCAGCGGAAGGCCTTATCTTTCTCTCGCAGAGGAGCTGCTGACAGACTCGAAGTGCAGACCTTGTGGTTCACACTCCAGTACCTACTGTGTGGAGCCACACTGCTCCCGATTTCATGTAATTCTGCCAACTCATTTGCGATGTCTTCTTTCAGATTCCTATTTGCTGTCAATACGAGAGCAAAAACCAATACGATCTGCCCATGTTTAGTGATTCCTTCATCTGGTATGTGCTTTCGCCTCATGAGAAGGGAAAAGTAATGGAAGTTAGGGAAAAGTAATGGAAGTTATTTATCGTCGCTCTTCTCATCCCAAATGTGTGTATGCTGCTGGGGCGCTTTCCCATTAGATTGAATTTTCAAAACTCACCGGCATCCACCTAATTGCAGGTTGTTAAAGACCTGTGTCCTATTCTGCACCTAGGTTTGGGACATAATTCAATATACGTTATGTGATTAAGAGGAATTCCTGGGTCTCTGTTATTTTGAGGGTGCATGGAAACAACGAAGTTGTGTTGTTTTACTGACAAGTTCTTATTTTCTTTTAAAGGTATCTCAGATCCCTGGTGTTAGCAAAGTACCTGATATGCAGACGAAGACGAAGAGCAAAGCAAAGGAGAAGGAAATTTGTACAAAAATCTCAAGGCCCACCATTTGTGACGTGAAACAGGGAAAGTTGGTCCAGTGTAAATATCAGAGGATAATCCCAATTATGCCGATCAACACCGTCAACATCTCTGTTGAACTGGTCCCTTACTTTGAGTTTGGGATTTGCGGGAACCCCCGTTTCCCAGTAGCGGAATATCACGAACACTGAGAGCGCAAGACGGAGCGATTTAGAGGAACCCAGCAGTGGTGAGAGGAGTCGGAACCCACAGCCCATGTACACATCCGCCCTCATCGCCTAGCAACTATGGGTCGATCGCTCGGCGCTCGATTTAGGGTTAGCTCGCTGGGCCAGATTGAGAAGCTGCTCGGGGTTCCGGGTTGAGGCTCTCGGCACCGGCCTCGCTCCGGCGTGCGTTCCTGCCGTGCGCAGGCGCGGGACCGCGGCGAGCCAGGGGGCTGGGGGGGCACGCACCGGAGCGAAGAGGCGGTGCCCAGAGTGGCTGAGGATCCGGAAACGCACCTCGGAGGGTGCGGCCCGGAGGCGGCGGCGGGCCGGGCGGGAAGCGTTAGGCGAGGAGCCCCCGGGCGCGGTGGGGGGCGGACTGGTGGTCGGGGTGGGCCCTCTGCCCGGATGGGGAACAAAGCGGAGGGGCTGGCGCGCACGCCCCCCGTGTGGCCGGCAGGTGGGCTGCGCGCGGGCCCGGGGGGCCGAGGGCGGTGCGGCCTGCAGGCTCCACGCCGGAGGGTGGACGGGCCGGGGGACGGGGACCGTGTCCGCTCCGTAGTTTTGATGACCGGGCTCGTCTCCCCCAGGTTGGGCAGCGCCCCTCCCGAAGCTTCTGGAGGAAAGACCCCAGGTGGCCCCCGACATGCCCCATCCCAAAGCTGGGTGCGCGGCCATCGACCCTCGGGAGAAGTTGGGCGGCCTGGGGAGACCCCGGAGACAGGTGGCCGCGTTTGTGCAGCGGTTATGAGCAAGGTGGCACGCGACCCAGGAGCAAAATCCCCGATGCCGGTTCCCTGCCGCCCATGCCCTCTTTTCTCTGACACCTGGCCCCAAGCAGATGCATCACAGGTGAGTGGGGAGGTGGGCTCTGCGCATGGACACCTTTGGAAACTCGCAAATGGGAGTTCATAGTTGTTGCCTTTGTTTTGGTGCCATTGGGAAGGTGACAGGTGTGGTCACGTTGCAAGTGAATGTGTGTCCCCAAACCAAACCCGCTCAGCTTACAGGGATCCTATAGGACAGGTAAGACTGCACCTAAGGATTTGTCGATGTGTGATTTCTTGGTGGAAGGGATATCATGGGATCTGCTCACTGTTTAAACCCACTGACTGTGATTTGCAGTCCAAAGCTTTCCCCACTGTGCTCCCAGGGTCCTTTTGTGTCCCCAAGCAAACAAGAAATCCTGAAACCCGTGCTGGGGTGCAGGTACTCATTCAACCCGATTTATTCCAAATGGGAATGAGTTAGGGTGTTGTGGAGTTGGTTCTGACTTATAGGGTCCTCCTACTCCTTGCATCCACTACGTCCGTCAATCCATCTCATTGATGGACTTCCTTTTTTTACTGACCGTCAACTTCACTAAGCATGATATCTTGCTTGGTCCTGCCCCATAAAATGTCCAAAATCCATGAGCTGTGAAGCGCTGCCATCCTCACATTTAAGGAACACTTCAGCTGTACTTTTTGCAACACAGATTTGTTCTAAATGGGGATTGTTGGTCCAAATAGCCACACGTTTATTGTTGGATCTAAGATATATTTTTCCTATGCCTTGGAATTATTGGAATATTAAATAAAAGTTTATCTTGACTCCAAAGCAGGACCTCAAACCAGTTCATTCAGGACTGACGAGGTGAAGCTGGAACAGACCCAGATTTGTAAAATTTGAGCTATCAGGAATGATAGCCAGAATGGGGAATCTGCAAGTTTGAAGTCCTGAGTGGGAGATTGGAAAAAGGTGTAGTGAGCCCTTATAGAAGCCTGATGTGGGAGATTGGATGATTGGCAGAATTGGTGGTGCCATGGGCTAAGCATTGGGCTGCTAATCGCGAGATTGGCAGTACAAATTCAGCAGCTGCACCATGAGAGCGCCCTTAAAGATTTAATCTTGGAAACCCTACACAGGGTCGCCCTGAGTCAGGAGGGACTTAGTGGTGATGAGTTGGGTTTGGTAAGCAGTAGCCGTTCAAACTAGCATGGTAGGTGGGCTGCCATCTTTGTGCAGAGCACTGCTGCTTCCAACTCTATTCAAAATCCCATGGCCAAGAGATTTGGTTGCTGGGCAACATGTATATTGCCCTTGTTTTCTAAGTGGAAGATGAAGTTTCTAGCAGGGTTAGAATCATCGGAGTCATTAGCTGTATATGATAGAGTAGGACCCATAAGGAATCCTTTGCTGTAAACTTTATGGGAAGGAACCCTGTAGTGTGGTGTTTGTTTAAGCACTCTGCTGCTAACTGAAGCATTGGTCATTGGAAGTCACCGGCTGCTTCAGGGGAGAAAGATGTGACGGAATATAAAGATATTCTGTAATATAGCCTCAGAAACCCTCTGGGCAGTTCTGTCTGATGGGAACACGGCATCTCTACAGGGAGCTGTTGTTGGTTTTGGACTGTTGACCTCTGGCTAGCAGCCAAGTACTTAACCGCGGCATCAGCAGAGCTTCTGAAGGGTGTCTGAGGAAGCCCCTAGGTCAACTCCCGTCACCACCGTGCTCTGTAGACCACTAGTTGTCTCTGCTTTATGGCGGTCAACTCCCGTCACCACCGTGCTCTGTAGACCACTAGTTGTCTCTGCTTTATGGCTGCAACGTCATCACATTTCAGCCACTGACAGCAAAGCAGGAATCTGCGGCGCTTCCTCCATGAAGTCTGGTTTGAACTGGTTTGGGAAGCCCTAAGAGTCATCCTGTTGTTGTTGTTGTTAAGTGCCGTCTTGTCGGTTCCAACCCAGTATAGGGTTTCTGAGGGTGTAAATCTTTACGGAAGTAGAAAGCCTCAACTTTCTCCCGCGGAGCGGCTGGTAGTTTCGAACTGCTGACCTTAAGGTTCGCAGCCCGATTCGTAACCACTACGCTACCAGAGCTCCTTCCTAGAAGCAGAGATTTGATTTCTTATCTTCTGATTGGATACACAGCTAATAGGCATTTCCAAAATGGCAGTTGAAGCCACAGTCTTTTCATTGTACTTGAAAAAAAAAATAATTGTAACCAATTTACCAAATCATTACTCCAGTGATTTCATTAGGTTTCTATCTATAAAAAGCTCAGGAACAATTTGTGTTAGGTCAACTGAAACCCAAGAACTTTTTTGAAAATGAAGGTAGCTAAGGTCAGTATCTCAAACCTACTAGTCTTAGAGAAAGATAAGCGTTCCTGCTTCCGTGAAGATTAAAGCCTTGGAAACCCTGCATAGGGTTGCTGTGAACCCGAACCACCTCCATGGCATACAGCCACCACCACCACCACAGTTTCGTTAGGCTACAGGAGTTTTTGTATTCTTTTGCCGAAAAATTCAACACTTACTAATGTGCTGCCCTACATAGGGTATACCTCATATACCAGGTGTTCCCAGTCATCTTTCTGGGAAGGATGAGTTTATATTGCTGCATCCAAATCAAATATTTCACAGTGCCTATTCAATTGGCCCAGGATCAGGCAGTGTTTCGTTCTGCTGTGCCTAAGGTTGCTATGGGTCAGTACCGACACGATGGCACTTAACAACAACAACTACTCAATTGAGTAAGGAGCTCTGGTAGCGTAGTGGTTAACAATTGGGCTGCTAACCTCGAGGTCAGCAGTTCGAAACTACCAGCTGTTCCGCGGGAGAAAGATGAGGCTTTCTGCTCCCATAAAGATTTACAGCCTCGGAAACCCCACGCAGGGTTGCTATGAGTCAGAACCGACTCCACAGCACATAACCACCACTACCACTACTGAGTTAAGTAGGAGTCCTGGTAAAGATCTCAATAGGACCAGATTGACAACAGCAACTCACAGGGCTCCCTAGGAAGCTTAGGGGCAGTGAGTAGATGTTGAGGGAGGAGGACCAGCTTGGAAACGAAGAGCAAGAATGGCTGCACAAGTTGAAGATGCTTACAGTGCCGCTGCATTGTACACGCAGATGCTTGAGTTGGAGTTTGTTCTACCGTGTGCATTTAAGATGGGGCCCTGGAGATTACAAATTGCCTGCTCAGCTAACCAAAAAGTTGGGAGGTTCAGGTGCACCCAGAGGTGCTTCCGAAGATAGGTCTGTTAATAATTCCCCAAAATCAGCCAGTGAAAACTGTACAGAGCACAGGTCTACTCGGACACACATGGGGTTACCATGAGCTCGAATCTGTACTAGTCAAGACTCTGTCCTGCTGGCCTCTGCACTTTATTACTATTGGGAGCTCAGTGTTATGAGGTACCCGAGCAGGGATGAGGGTGAAGTCAAGGACTGTAGAATAACTGAAAAGCAGGTCCACAAAGTAAATAGATCATCAAAACTGGCAGTTTACAATGGCTCAGAGACAGACATCTTTCTCTTCATTTGGTTGGGTTCTGGCCAATTTGGGCCTCGCCATTGAAGTCCAGGGAGTCCACACATCCCGCTTTGTACGTTAGACTTGCTTCCTCCCCTTGCCCCAGGCCTCCCCCTCCTGGGCTAGGTGGCTGCTCGCAAGCTCAGGAGTCACACACCTCTCAGCTTTAGGCCAGCCAGCTCTTCCTTCTCTCTCGGTTCATTTTGTCATTGCTGCATTGTCTCCCATGTGCACTCATCAAATGGACCCAGGTGGTCACCATCAGGCATACCAGGCTGTCTGCTCACCAGCCCCTTTAACTTTGAGTCCTTGAAAGGGGTGTTCGCTAAAGGTCATAGACTGACCTCCCAGATTGTCTGAGTTTGTTCTTATAGTTTTGTTCTGTTCGCAACTCTTCCTTCTGTTGATTTAGTTCTGGAAGGTGCTGCCACATATATCAATCTCTGATTGTTATCTGTTCCTGTTTGTTCTCAGTCCACAAAACTCCCTTTAGGATGTCTTATAGTGCAGGGTTGGCTTTGGCAAAATCCCTTAGCTTCTGTTTATCCTGGAATGTTTTGATTACACCATTGTATTGCTTAACAGCTTTGCTGGATAAAGGATTTTTGGTTGGCAGTTTTTTTTCTTTCAGGGTTTTATATTTGTCTCCCCATTGCCTTCTTGCTTGCATGGTTTCTGCGGAGAGATGCAAGCTTAATCTGACTTGCTTGCCTTTGTATGTAACACTTCTGTTTTCCCTAGCTGCTTTCAGGAGTGTCTCCTTATCTTTGATTTTGGAGAGCTTGATTATGATATGTCTCCGTGATTTTCTTTGGGGTTATTATGAAATGATACTTGATTTGATATTTCTCGGTGATTTGGGGTCTATCCTTCCTGGAGTTTGTTGAGCTTCTTGAATGTTTGTCTTCTCACTTTTCAGGATGTTAGAGAAATTTTCTTCTAGCAGCTCTTCAACTATTTCCTCTGTGTACTTGTGTGATTCTTCTTGTTCTGGAATGCCGATAATTCTTAAGTTATTCATCTTCATGTTGTCCAACAGGAATCCTAGGCCTTCTTAAGATTTTTTTTTTATCCTTTTTTTCTGTTTGCTCTTCTATCTTAGTGGTATTGAGAGATTTGTCTTCTAGCTCATTGGTTCCGCCTTCCAGCTCTTCTATTCTACTCCTTTGCCTTTTCAGTGTAGTGTCAATTTCTGATAATCTATTATTGATCCTTTGGACCTCTTTCTGTATGTTTTGAATTGTTTTCAATGCTGTATCTATCTTAATTGATTGTTCCTGTAGCACTTTCCTGACTTCTTCCTTATTTTTGTCAACTCCATTGTAAAGTATTTGGAAATATTTTATAATCATTTTTCTGCATTCCTTCTCAGGCATTTCCAAGGCCTGCCCTCCTTCCAGAATGGAGTCCAGGTCTACCTCGAGGTCGACATTTTATCTTGTTTCTGGACATGTGCTGATATGGTCATCTGCTTTTGCTTCTTGGACATGTTTAGTATTTATCTGTGGCCTTAATACTTAATTGAGTGTGTGTTTTGGTATTTTT